CCAATTCTGTATCCTTCCCTTCAAGGCTCAGGGTTCCAAGATTATCTTCTGTGTCTGTGTTAATTGGTTTCCCTTTTCTTTGTTGAAGAGGGTCTTTGCAATCCTTCTGCCTAGTCCACCATCTTCTTTTCCTTCCTTTTTGCGTTTGGTTTTTTGAGTTTGCGATTTTCTTTATATTTACCAAGGAGCTCTGATGGTACAGTGCCTAAGGCATTTGACTGCTAACCAGAAGATTGGCTGTTCAAACCCACCAGCCGCTCCATGGAAGGAAGACAGGGCAATCTACTTCGTAAAGATTTACTGCCCTGGAAACCCAATGGGGGTCACTATGAGTTGTAATTGACTCGATGGTAATGGGTTTGGTGTTTTTTTGTTTGTTTTGTTTTGTTTTTATATTTACTAATGTTCTTTACTTCTTCTTATGGCTTCAGGTTACTATCTAGAACCTTCATTTCACACAGAAGAATTTCCTATAGCATTTCTTCTGGGCAGATCTGCTGGTACTGAACTCCCTCAGTTTTTGTTTAAATGTCTTAATTTCTCCTTTGTTCTTAAAGAAGAGTATTGCAGGTACAGAATCCTTGGTTGACAGTTTCTTCCACTCAGAACTTTAAATATGCATCCCATTGCCCTCTAGCCTTCATAGTTTGTGTTGAAAAATTGGTTGCTAATCTTATTAAAGATCCCTTGTACATGATAAATCACTTGTCTTTTGCTGCTTTCAGTATTATATTTGTCCTTAAGTTTTGACAGTGACTATAATGTCTTCATATAATTGCTTTAGTCTATCCTACCTGGAGTTTCATTGAGGTTCTTGAATGAATAGATTGATGTCTTTCTTCAGATTTTCATTTTTGGTCATTATTTCTTCAAATACTTTTTTCTGCCTCTTTCTCCCTTCTCCTTCTGAGACTCCTGTTATATATATGTTAGTGGTTTGATGGTGTTCTATAGTTCCCTCAGGCTCTGTTCAGTTTTCTTCATTCTTTTTTCTTTCTGCTCCTTGGAAGGGATAATTTCAATTGCCTTATATTCAAGTTCCCTGATCCCTTCCTTACTGATCTATTCTGGAGTTGAACTTCTCCAGTGAATTCTTCATTTCATATATTATACTTTTGAGCTCTAGGATTTGTTTAGTTTCCTTTTTATAATTTCTGTCTCTTTATTAATATTCTTGGCTTTTTTTCATGCATAATTTTCCTGATTTCCTTCAATTCTTTTCCAAGATTTCCTTTGGCTCCTATTTAAGACATTTGATTAACATATTTGACTAGTAATTCCAGTATCTGGGCTTCCTCAGGGATGATTTCTTTCCAATTCTTTTTCTCCTGAGAAAGGGTTGTACTTTCCTGTTACATTGTATGTTTTACAATTTTACTGAGAACTGGATATTCTGAAGATTACAGTGTGTGGTAGCTCTGGGAATCTGATTCTTCCAGTGTTCAGGGGTTGCTCTTGTTACTAGAGAAATGCTGCAGTCATCTGTTTATTTAGTGACTTTTCCAAAGTATTTTTCCTGAGGAAATATTTCAATTGTTTTGGGTCACTAAAGTTTCTATTCTTTTATTTCTGCAGTCAGACAGAGACCTGACCTAGAGTTTACCAAAAAGGGGAGTAGGGATAGGGGAGGTGTATTAGTCCTTTCAGTCACTGTTACTGAGAGAGCCAAACCTCAGCCAGTGTTGTACCTGTCCCTCAGGCATCACTAGATCAATCAAATATACAACCCCAAATCCTAGAAGGACAAAGTCCCCACCGCCTGCCCTGGGAACATGGACCACTATCCCTACTGCCACTGCAGGACTGAGATGAAGTCTTTTGGGGTCCATTTCTTGGGTTTTACTTAAATGAGGGTGTAAAATTTAAATTTTAACCACTTGTGTTGTATTTTCAGTGGGCATCATTTACTTTTTCTGGGAAGATGCTCTTAAATCAGCCGTATTGTTTTTGCCCTGAATGAACACCTGGTCTCAAGAAAAAGACTTTATGAGCTAATTTACCAGAAATAGGTAAAATGTCCAAATGAAGGTCTGACTCTGGAAGTTCTAACTCAGCTGAATTTTTGACTTATAAATTGTTTTACTTTTCCATATTAGGCCAATATTATAAGGAAGGCTGATAAAATTTCCAAAATGGCTAGCCAGTATTATTTCAAATACAGGGCTTGGAAAACTTAAAACTGTGTAATAAGAAGAGAGAATTGTTTATAAAAGTGTTGTTCATCAGAATTGCAGTGTTTTGTTTAACAGGTGGCTAATTGTATTGTTTTCTTTCAAAGTGAATTGTTTTCTTTATTTACTACTCATATCTTTCCAAACTGATAAACTCTTCCATTTATTAAGCAAATATTTTCTGAGCATTTATTGTATGTCTAGATTTAGCTGGTATTAGTACTCTTCTGTTTTAGGTGAAAAATCTTGTACCACCACTAAGGGATCAATACCCAAGTGTCCCCCTTAGCCCATATGCTCTGTGTGAGTTTTACCTGGACTGAATATTTCAGCATTTGGTTTGGACCAGACTATATCAACATGTAATATGCATAAAATAATTACCTATCATTTGCATTGTTTCATCATTTTTTTCCTTTCTAGATTTTATTTTAGATCTTTCAGTAATAAAAATAATTTTGGAAAGCAGTAAACTATACATTATTTGAATAGTATTATGCCTCTGTGCCTATATGAGGACCTTTTACATAATTATTTCATATGATTCTCACAATAGTCATGTGAGACAGATGTTATTATTTGCAGGTGTTTTTGTTGTTGTTGGTGGTGGTGGTGGTGAAAATATATACAGCCAAAGGACATACCATTTCAACAAATTCTACATGTACAATTCAGTGACGTTGTTTGCATTCTTCAAGTTGTATAACCATTCCTGCTAACCTTTTTCAAATTATTCCACTATTAACATAAACTCACTGCCCCTAACCTTCTCATCTAGCCTTTCAAGATGTGGTCAATTTGTTCCCACAGATAAATCTTTGAAAGAGCATGATGCTCAAGGCAAACATGCTTTACTAATTGAGCTAAACTATTGTTTGTTTCAAAGCAGACTTCTGAGGAAAGTTTTGACTGGAGGTTTAAGATTTAAAGATTACGGAGATTCTTTTTTAATCTTTATAATCACCTTATATAATAAATATTACAGATGAGTAAACTAAGGTTCACATAGGTTAAATAAACTAAGGTTCACAAAGGTTAACTGTCATTGCTTAAAGTCACATAGTTCATTTGTGGCAAAGACAACATACAAATTCCTGTCTCTTTAATACTTTCCATTATCCCATGATGGTCCTCCTAACTTCACTGGAAGATTTCAGAAAACATCATAATACAGTAATTTTACTCTGAGGGCCTTTGAGTAGTATCATATTTTCATAGCTTGTCTTCTTGTTAGGTACATAAAATTCATAAAAAGATACTTTGCTATATTCATGCTCTATAGGATATGAAGGACTATATAATACTAAAGGTACTGGTTTGTTTATGAGATGAAAAGAGAAAGCTAATCCTGGAAGATCATTGTGGCATGGCAGAAATAGCACAGATTATTGGAGTAAGTCAGAACTGGGTGCACAGACCTCTTTTGCCATTTTACTAGCTTTGGACTCCTAGACAAGTCATTTAGTCTTTCTTGGGCCTCAAAACATTTCTCTGTAATGGGGGCAGTTGGTATGCTCATTATTATTGAAAAAATATATTTTATTTGGTAAAATGTAAATCTGAGCCCTGTCAGAGATTAATTAAAATTCTTATCTCACTTTTCCATTGCTTTCTGTGAAATTAAGTTTTGAAATCACATGCTTAAGTGCCGCCAAGCATTTGGACCATTGACAAGACTTCCTAGTTATTTTCACCCTATCAAATTTTAGGATGCAGGGGGTGTGTTATTTTTAAAATTCTACATAGGTTTCTAAAAAAGAATCTGAAAGAAATACATATACCTCATTTACCAACTTTCAAGCAAAACATTTTTTACATTTAAAAGTTATAGTCAGAAGCTTTTTTTTAGATTTCAGGTTAATTTACAAATATTCTCTTATTTATACTTTTTCATCTATAATTCTACTCCATTGAAATAAATATTTCTGTTTTGTTCTCTAAACCAAAATTAAACTCACTGCTGTTGAGTTGATTCTGACTCAGAGTGATCCTACAGGGGTAGAACCGCCCCATATGGTTTCCAAGGCTGTAAATCTTTCCAGAAGCAGACTGCCTCATCTTTCTCCCCTGGTGTGGTTGGCAGGTATGAACTGCTGACCTTTGAGTTAGCAGTCCAGTGCTTTAACCACAATGCCACCAATGAAGAACTACTGTTCCTGAACAATTTCTATGCCTTCTGAAAGAAGTAAAGAACTTATGTTAACTAAGCATCTTTTCTGTGCTAGGAGCTTTTACAGACCTTGTGGGGAAATGGAGGCTTAGGGAGTTCAGTATCTTAACCCAAATGCACTAGCTAACAGTGCTAAACTGGAATGGGATCCCAACTTCTCATCTTCAGATCCTGAGCCTTTCCACTCTCTCCAACAGCCTAAAGATCAACTAATAGTGCCATTCTTTCTTCTTTTCTTTTGCTATTGTCTTTACTTTTTAGAAAGAACTAAATTCACGAGATGGAGCTTGGGAAAAAATATGTGGAGAACGGGATCCTTTCATCCTGTGCAGTTTGATGTGGTCTTGGGTGGAACAACTGAAAGAACCTGTAATAACCAAAGAGGATGTGGACATGTTGGTTGACAGGCACACAGATGCCGCTGAAGCTCTCTTTTTATTAGAGAAGGTAAAGTAGCTGTTGTTCTGGTTAATGAGTTTAACTGAGACCCTCCATATAAGCTCCACACACAAACAAATCCATTTTTAAAAGGGAATGCATACAGAACCCCATATTTAGGTCTAATTTAATAATTTTAGGTCTAATTTAATAGTTTTCTCAAGAAAAATGAAGAAACACATGCTCAGTACAGACACTTAGAAAATACAAAAATAAAAAGGGGATACTATCTCTAATCCTATTACCTAGGAGAGCCATTTTAAGCATTTTAATGACTTTTCTTTCAGTCTTATTACTGCTTGTTTTAACATAGTAAAACATCACTTTAAAATACAATTTCATACTTCATTTATACATAGGTATTTTATACATATATACAAGTTTTTCATAAACATTAACTTTAATGTGTATGTAGTATTCCAAATATGGGGTTATGGCATAATTAACTATTTTTTCACTTTTGCATATTTGTTTCTACTTACTTACTATGACCATATAAATGTGGAAAACTATGAAGTAAGTTGGAGTATGCACTCATTCGTATTTTTTTTTTAAAAAGGATGTGTATGGATGTATGTACACATGTATAAAATTTGTAAATTTATAAAATATCTCTAGAAGGAAATATAAGAAACTGATAACTTAATCTTTTTTAAGATTAAGGAAGGATATAGAATTTTGTATTTTCATGTACCAAAAAAACCAAACTCACTGCCATCCAGTTGGGTCTGACTCATAGCAACCCCTCCTTGGGTTTCTGTGGCGGTATCACTATGGAAGTAGATTGCCCAATCTCCCTACTGAGGAGTGGCTGGTGGGTTTGAACTGCCACCCTTCTGGTTAGCAGTCAAATGCCTTAGGCACAACGGCACCAGAGCTCCCATATTTATATTGTTGTTGTTGTTGTTGTTGTTATGTGCCGTCAAATTGAACCTGACTCATAGTGACCCCTCCTTGGGTTTCCGAGGCAGAATCACTATGGAAGATTACCCAACCTTCCTTCCAAGGAGTAGCTGGTGGGTTTGAACCGCCAGCCTTCAATTTTGCAGTCAAGTGCCTTAGGCACTACGCTATCAGAGCTCCTTCCATTTTTATATGTTGTTGTTGTTGTTGTTATGTGCCGTCGAGGCAGCCCTGACTCATAGTGACCCCTCCTTGGGTTTCCGAGGCAGTATCACTACG